GTGCAAGATTTATTGACGAATCTGTTCCGGAGAGGGATTATGTGATTAAGACTTTTTTTTTGATCGTATGTGAAATATCCATGAATAAGGCGTAGGTGCAAGTTCGAGCTACGTTATTGTTATACCGATATAGTTGTTTGCTGTTCGATTTGTTGCTATACTGTTGTTACTGCTGCTTTATTATTGTATTTGTTCGCAAAAAAATTGATATTGAAGTGTCACCACGAAAAGATGGATTCAGATACCGCTTACGTCTATTCGCAAGACATTACCGTCTTTCTTTACATTATTCACCAATAGCAACCTGGGCGTTAGGCCCTGTTGCTTCGAGTGTGTAAAAAAAATAATCCGGCTGTCGTGAGAGATCAATTGTCCGTTTTGTCAGCTTTATCCAATATTGATCTGAATAATGGTGCTGTTTTTTGAAGAAAAAGATCCGGAACAAGTCGAATTATCGTAATGGTCGTTTGTGTTGATTGGATTGAATCGAGGATCTAAATGGTCGTTCGTACCTTTGTTAGGCGGCGAAGTGGGAAGAATAAAAAAGACCATATTCTCACTTTGTTGAGGAAGAAAACGGACGACGTATGAAACGAATCTTCGAGTTCGTATGCATAACTTAGCGGGAAAACTCACTCGGAAAACTAAATCCACTCTTGCTCTTTGTGAACTTCGAGAGAAAAGACCTCCTTTCCTTTTGGTGTTTGTTTGTGTTTCATCGATGTATTTATTGCCAAAAGAGGGAATTCTTGCTTCTCGTCATTACTTTTCAACTATATCGTTCATTCTCTTGTCAAACCAAAAAAAAAAATCCCTCCATGCACTTGTATAATTCAGATAAAAACTTCCAAGACCAAACGAATATACGGACGCAAAAATTTAATACTATCGAAAATATAAAATGCTAACACTAGAAATTTCTGCAGCTGAAATTTGTTTTCTGCTGGACAAAAATAAGAAAAGAAAACAGGAGAAAGAACCATCTGAGATACCACTCGGCTGCTCTGGCCAGTTGAGCTAACCGGACTTTTGTTCTTTTTCTTTTTTTTTTAATAGGTCAGTTACACCACTAATTAACTTCGCGTGACTAACATCTAGAGAATAGAACGAATGCAAAGAGAGAGAATTAGAACCAGGATAAAGTTTATGAAATAGAGGGATGAGGAAATAATAAAATTTTTCTCATGACCATTCTGTCATACGTATGCAAAATGTTGATGACTTTATAAGTATTAGTTCTAGGAATTAGCATTTAACAATCGCCTATTGTTTTACGTAGTTTTCCGTAGTTTTCGTTATTGGGTAGTATTTATTGCGGGTAGGCTCAGATTTCAGAATTAAAATTTTAGCAAAGAATTGTTAAATTAATGCTCTTAGAGAAAATTTTCAAAATTAATCTCGATTCCTAAAAAACGATGCAACATTACAGATAACATTTCCAAATTTTGAACATTCCACCACATTTTCACAAATCCATCCGGGTAATTTTTGTCTAATACGAGGTGTACTAAATCGTCGGTCAATTAGAACAATCGTGGCGTAGTCAGTTTTGTGTCGAATCGCACGACCTAATGAAATATTTTATCAATAAAAGCTTCAAAAAAAAAAACGATTACTACCAGCTGTTAATTACCAATTGATTGATTAACCGATCGCATGCATAAATTCTCGTAGTACTCTCTCCCAGGTGAATGTTGATCTCCAGATCGTGTATCTTGACCTTTTTGATCAATGTATTTCATTTTCTCTTTCAGTGCTGCAGAATTCATATTTGCAAATGGTAGTCCTACCATTAGAACTCCCCTATTCATAGATCATATTAGTAGTGGAAGAGTATTTGTAAATACATGGAACTCTTCTTACCTTCCCAATCGATCCGCAAAATTAATGCCTTCACTCATTTTACCTCCCACAACACAAAAAAGCAAAGCGCCACCATTCTTAGATCCAGCCTTCAAAAAACAAAAAAAAAAGAGGTTAATCAGAAATCTGTAATTCTCTTTATCATGAATTAATAATATAATAAACAATTACTGGTATCGAATGAATGTGCGCTGAATAGTCACGCAAGATTTTGTCGACTTCATTGGATTGACGAGGTTCACGAAATATCTGAGCAACCATAAAAATATGAATGAGACGTAAAAAGGGAACATTTGCATATTAAAAAAAATCTTCTAAATTACTTTTTTACGCTTTTGTATTCTTTCCAATGTATTATTCTGTTGCCAACGGAGATATACTTTTTCTAAGTAAGCATATGATCCGAAAAAACAAACAATACCATCTGGAATGATGTTGCAAAGATTGGAGATGGTTTGGCCTAATTGATCAATCTAAAAATGAACTAAATTCAATAAAGGTGATTTATAATAAAAAGACGTCCAATTAACGTTCATCAAAGGTTTCATACCAACTTCTCATCTGTTCGACGTTCAAAGGTAAATTCCATTGGCATCCCGGTAGGACCATTTGATACAACCAAAGTTAATAGATTTTTTTTAGGAATAATATGTCCACAAGAAAATCGATCAATTTTTTCTGGCGGAAGATACGAAAATAATTGATCAATCAAATCTTTGACCTTTTATTAAAAAATGGAGAATTAATAATCATAGAGATTTGAACAATGAGGGTTTCAAATTACTCACAGGTTCCATTGTTCCACCTGCTAAAATCACACTTCTTGCTTCCATCACAACGTCTTTAAATTGATTTGAAGGATTTAATAATAAATACTTTATATAGGGTTGATATTTAGATGTGCCTGCAATCGGCATGAACCCAAGGATGATACGTCCATCAATATCTCCGTTTGTCAATGACATAAAGAAAGTTTCAATTTGATTTAAACAAGGAATTGAAGAAGAATAATCATTCACTGTAAATGTATAAAAGAAATAACCGATGAATTGTTGTAAATCTTGATATTCGCGACTTTACAGATTAAGTAAAACATACCATCGTCATTACTTGGATGAATTTTAACTTCATGGAATTCCATTTTATCCATAAATCCATTAAGCTATGAATGAATTCATATCTTGTATGTCAGATAATAAGGGAAGTATTATGATGAACATCGGATAAAAATATAATATGGACAAACCTTTCGCGCCAGATTACTTTTTTTCAAATACTTTTCGAGTTTAAACAAATTCAAATTATCAATATTTAAATGATGCATAAACTCATTTACCATCTTAATTTCCTCGCAATTTTCTTTATCTCGCTTATTCTCACATGATTTTGTCCATTGATTCAAGCATTTAGTCAATGCATCTAACAAAGCTAAAATTTGACGAATATAAACGATATTTTTCCCTTTTAACCGTCTTTTGTATCGCTCGAGATATCTAGTTAATTGTAATTGTGCACGCGATATTTGCGAGTGATCAACATATACAGTGTGCACTGCTGTTATTGTCTCTACTAGATTATGGGCTTCATCGATTATGACAACATTATTTTTTAATGAAATCCCCATCGACTCGCGAGTTGATTTTGATAAGAGAAGATTGTATGGGAGGGTTACGATCTGTTTTCATATTGAGGTTATAAAAAAATTTGAATAGAAAGTAAAAAGCTATTTTTTGAATAACAATAATAGTTTCTTACCTGAGATTGTTTGATACTTTTTCTTGTACCGTAATAAGGACAAGTTTCTAGTTTTTGACCAACCTCCACGAGTTCTTCTATATTACGTACTAAGGCCTTTATTCAATTGATATATAAATAAAAGTGCCTTCCTTTATTAAATTTTATAAAAGCAGATTACTCACCAACGCATGGTCTCTAAAGTCCAGCATGCGCGATTTTCCAATTTTGGAAAAGTAAGGGCACTTTTTATCTGATTTTGTGTCTTTTATACATAAAGGAAGATAAATACTCGGTTCAAGTTCAATTCACAGACTAAATCATCAAACGAATTCACATACTGGGTTTTTGCATTTCCATGCATTGTTCATTCATTCGTGCTACATTTTTCAATTTCTGAACTTTTTCATTGATGCATAGATTCTTTCGAGAACCCAAAGAAATTAACTTCAGTTCATCATATCTAGTCTTTCGGACTTCTTGAATAAATTGCGATAATTGAGAATGCGTTCGAGAACAATAATAAATCTACGTATTATTATGAAAAGAATAAAATAAATTTAGTTTATGAGGTATCAAAAATTATGTTTTTTCTTTACCTTTGTTTCTTCAGGTTCTTCATCTTCATCGTCTTCTCCCGACCAGTTTTTATTATTGACTTTCTCGCTATCTAGCTCAAACTCTTGATTTTCTTGAAATCTGATAATTTGTTATGCGTCCAAGAAAAAATGAATTTAACTTACAAATAAAAGTATTTATTATCAATGTTAAAAAAATTACATACATATATACCTTGCTAATAATTCTTTTACTTCGGCAGAATAATTATCGCCGAAATTATTGTTAGTTCCAATTTTACTGTCATCATCGTCACTATTATAATCATCAAGAACAAATTCTTCGGGTGCTTCTTCATTCTCGTTGTTGTTGTTATTATTACAATGGATCTGGTGGAACTCATTCTCATGTTTGGTTTTCTATGTTTATCATGAACAGGAATGTTTGGGGCCAAAGATGCATTCATTCACACATACACACACACACATATATATAAATACATGATTTACCATTTTTTTACGGGAAAGAAAACTACTAGGGGTTCTCTGTTGAGCAAGCTCACGTTCTCTGATTCTTCTGATCCTGTTGGCCAATTCCTGTTTTTTTTGTTTTTCTCGTTCACGCATTTGCTCTCGATGGTATTCCAATATCCAAGACGGTTCTTTGAATAATAAAAATTGGGGACTTAAGCTTAATGGTAGATATGGTAATCACGCAAAATTTTAAAGAATTCATTTCGTTCACCATTCGAGGCGGTGTCACTTTCTGCGCTATTTCCCAATGGATTCTCATGCCTCGATGCATTATCATTAAGCCATTTCAATGCGCCGCAGATCAAGCTCAACGATTTCCCCTTTTTATTTCAAATAGCATGAGAAGATTGTTCCTAAAGCTTGAAAGATTTATGCTCGAATTTTCGGTTTCGAACTAAAGATTTTTTTTACCGTGCCTGTTGGACTCTCGAAAATGGCTACTTGTCCTTTTTCAATGACAGTATAAAGCTTCTGCATGAATTCATATTGGATACTATATGGCTCAAAGGGAAATTGAAACTCGTTACAGTCCAACGGAGTTGGAAGTCGAAATTGTAAATCTTTTGGGTGTTGCTGCCTATCTAGTTGATTCATATTGTCGCGAAATGGATTTTAACGCGACACGCGTAGAAATTCAAAAATCTTCACGTGATAGAAATCATGCACGATTCGGTTAAAAATACAAAAGTGAAGTATCATTGGTTGCGCTATGATGCCATATAGCATCAACCATGATTACAAACCCGATATTGGTTCAAGAAGCGCCTTTGAGCTTTTCTAGTTATCGACAATCGCTGCATCTCAAGACAACGAAGAGTTTATCAACTGTAAGTTAATTCGACGAACGATAGCGTTTCGTTATCAGATTTAAAAACATTACTAACGTTTATATCGAGATTAATATTAAAGAATCACGTTACGTAATGTATATTGAAAAGAATATATTTTATTTATAAAATAGATTTTTATTCGAGATCTCTACAATCAATAAATAAAACCAACAAGTGTTACTGATCCGACTTATTCCTATATCGGTTGTAAGCAGTAACCAATTCCGTAGCCATTGGTAAAGTTTCCTTGACACTCTTACGCGAAGTGATCGCCTTAACCCACTGATGATACCGGTCGTAGCCTTCGCCTGTGGGAATCTTGATATTGCCACGAATAATACCGACTTCAAGTGCGATGTTTAGACGCGCGGCGAATGGTGCCGAATTGAGATCTGCAGTCGAGAATGCATCCCCGAGAAAGTAAGGGCCGGAAGGTGATTGTTTTACCAGATAGTCGTTTATCTTTTTTTGTGTGTATGGAAATCAATTTTAGTTTATGATCGAATGATACCATTAACAATTTCGAAAAAATAAAATACATGCTTCTCTGACAACAGCAAGCAATTTTTCCGTCAATTCTGGAATTTTTTCATCATCCTGGTTTTTTATTAAAGGCCAATATACCGACATGAACTTGTTACCAAAAAATTCGGTAAATATCCGTGCTTGTGCTCGCTGAACCGGATCTTTTGGAAGAAAACTTAATCCATTTAATCAATACAAGAACGAAAATAATCATTAATGAAATCCAAAGGAAAACTCTAACACCAATAAAAAGTAAAGAAAAAAAATACTTGGGAGTCTCTTGAGCCAATTCCGCGATAAAATCTACAAGCACCAAGCTCTCAGATAAAATCGTGTCTCCGTATTTAATAACCGGGACTTTTTCCGAGGCGTTTATGTCCTTGTACCACGCCGGTTTATTTTGTAGATCGATTTCAACATGTTCATGCGCAAAATTGACTTCTTTCAGCGCGATTCGTGTACGTTGAGCTTTTGGGATAGAGAAGAAATTTTAAGATAATATTTTTTGAGAGAACTCGATTTTTAAGGTGGTAGATTATTTTACTTACCAAATGGACATACAGTAGCATAATAAAGGGTGATAGGCTGGGGAGGTTTAACTATATAATTTTTTATTGATGAGATCGGTGAAGTTGATATCAATTATCAATTATAAAAGTTAACAACACAGAAATATATTTTGTTTTATGCCCAAATTACGTCTAGTATATGTACTGTACCATATTATTCCTTACCTGCCATTTATTATGATATTATCAAAAATTCGTGATCTAAAAATACATTTTTTCCATCTGTACTTATACTTTTTCCATTACGAGCGGAAATTTCTCGAACCATCTACGTATGCACATGTATGACGTGTAATCATTCATTTATTGATTCATCCATCCATTACAATGGAAGATAAGATTGCGATAGGGAAATTATTAATCCTGACTAATTTCTAAATCTGTTATTTTGGCTTGCTGTTCATGAGAGTAAAAATATGGCTTTATTGTTCAAAGAGTGAACATGTATTTACAGAAAAATAAAAGAATTTAAAAAAAAGAGTAGGGTAAAACTAGCAAACATCAGTAACACTATGCCAACTTTTATTATGTTGGCTAATAGTTAGATAATTATTACTATGATCTTACTTTTTGCGCCCTAATATATGATATATATTAACCGATAAAAAACATGCAAGAATCACACCCCCTCAAATACCCATATTCATTGTTTTACCAATCTAAACATCAGTTAGACTTTTTTGCGGTTACTTGACCGATACCGTTAGCAGCAAGGTTTTTCATTTTACCAAGATATGGCGTTACGTATTCTGTTCCCCTTTTTTGCGTTGAATTTAGAAACAATGTTTATCATTAATGAAAAAAAGGAGATAAATTTAAAAAAAATCAGGAAAAAAGAGGGTGGCGTTTGAATCTTACTTGTCAACATTTTGACGGACTACTGCATACCCATCATCAAGATATTTATCAACCAATTCTTTGTTTTGTTTGTATAGTTTCGGCACTGCGAAGGCGAGAACAGCCGCTACAAATTTTTAAATATAAATTAGTTCTATAAAAAAGAATGAAGGAAAGAGTTCATTATTATGTCGATCTTTGATTACCAGTCCCAAGCAGAAAGCGGAAAGAGAACCAACAGGCCACTGTCCATGTAAGATAGAAGAGAACAACATACTAAAATAGAAAAATAACGGGATCAAAAAGATTTATCTATACATTTAACGAAAATCTAGAGGAATAAGAATCAAACCTTTATGCTTCGATATGGATCTTGCACAAATACAATTTTAGTGCCTTCTGCTAACAGAAAATTAAGAATATCGACCCATAGGTCAGTATATTCCCTGACAAGTTCTCGTGAGATGTGAGGCGGATGCTGTATAAATTTACTTTTTTTCAAACAAAAAAAAAAAATCAATCAATCTTTTTCAAACAATAAAAATTTGGATAACACAAAAAATCATACTCGTGAGGATTCACAGCATCTTGGTTGAACAAGGTTTTGAATTGCTTGGTTAAAAACACGTATGCCCAATCAGCGCCTATCAAGACTATCGCCAAGAAACAAAAAGTATTGAACAATGAATAGTAGGCGGTGAAGATCAGAAATGTGAGAATCGCGCCTAAAGCTGTTCCCGAGTGAACTGTATTCTCCCATTCCACGAGATATTGAGCTATTATAAATCAAGGTGAGCAAAGAGATCAATACAACAGCATAATTTAGAAATGGATAAATTAAAGACTTGGATTTTCTAGATGGTCGATCTGCGTATTAAATGCTCTCGTTACTGGCTCACACATTCAAGTTAATTCGATGTCTATTTCATACCTCGTGAGTTCATTGAATTCAAAGTATCTAAGATTTATCAATGTAAAAAATAAAAAATTTTAATTAAATAACATGATTATCTTTTGTTAGTTGTATTTTCTTTTACATACTTTGAATTCGCTCAAAGGAGTAAGTTTTATTCTCGTCCGTAGTTTCCCTACTGATCCCACGTCCGGTTCTATTATCATTCGGATTCACTCTAGGAGCGGGTTCGGCTTTTTTCTCAGGCTTGGCGTCCTTATTTGTTTTACCGTCTGGAACGCTTTCAATTCTTTCTTGTTGCGCTGCGGGTTCCTGTTCAGACTTCTCTTCGTCGTAAACCTTTTCGAACTGATTCTCAGCATTTTCATGAGTTTTCGCGGAGCCGTTTTGATATGTTCGCTCGGCATCTTGTGGGCTATTGACTTTATTGTCTTCAGAGTTTTCCATTTCTTCTTTACTGTTTAATCCGTGCATTGAATTGAACCGATATAAATTTCCGAAACAGACAGAAATATAAATTATGAATAAAAAAATAAAAAGGTATCTTTATGTGGGCTCTCTCTATATACAGAAAAAATATGCAATAACGTTTTTTGTTACCTTTTTTCTCTGACACAACTAAAAATAAAAGATACAATAGATAAAAATTAATATAATAGTGAAACGACAAGATGGGAAGAAGGATACGTGCGAATTGGTAGTTATAACCAATTGTTTACACACGGCCTGAGAATTTTTTTTTTGATTTCTTCTAAATAAAGTAGTAAAGGTGTGATAGATATGATGATTTTAATAAAAGTTGTTTAAAAAGTTCAGTCATCATGATGCAATTCACAAGATAACAATAATGACGCCACTTAAAAAAAGCCACGATCTATGGAATCAGTGGCACAATGTGTCACAAAAATATCCACCAATACCAAATTAACAAGTTAACTCAATAAAAAAAAAAATGAGACGGAAAAAAAACATTGATCAAGAAAAGGAAGTTTTATCTTGTGACTCTTTAATTAATATCGATCTGAAACTGTATAACAAAAACTATTTTGTTATAGCTAGTTAATTTTGTAGTTCCAAAAGAAACAGGATTAATACAAAATTCTACTCAGCATTGACCAAATTTGCAGATTGGCGTCGTTATTTCAGCCAGAATAAAAAAATAATCATCCGGAGGACAAGTTATCGCTAATGCAATAAATATTTTTTTTATTTTACAATTAATATAAAAAAAATCCAACCATGCCATATATATAACCTTACCTACTTCCTTATTATTAATTCACATCCCTCCACAAGTTGACCAAGTAAATATCATTTAATAATAAGAATACGAAGAAACAAAAAACAAATGAGATAATAGGTAAGATATTAAATAATGCAACTTTCTCATTAAAAGACAGTCCATCGAAAGAAACACGATAATTAAAATAATAAATTAAAATATTTGTTATAATAAAATAAATATACCTTAAAAATCTAAAAATTGATTGTTGCGATTTTTTAAACACGCATTCAAACAATTTTTAATAAAGTGAGAAGTAACAATTGTTCTTGATCTATAATTTCCAATAGTATATAAAAATATTTATATATATTTTACAAGTATATACCTTATAGGAGATTAAAACTGAATGGAAAGGATATAATGATTATTATAATTATATAAGATGAAGTTCATAAAGAAATTTAAAGATAAAATAACTTGTCCAAAAATAAAAATTCTCAAATTGATTCATGTATAAAGAATGATTTTGATAAAGTCTGGCAATTCAAATAAATAAGAGATGTTGGTAAAGAAAAAAAATAGAATTACTTCCCTCCAGAGAACAGAAATTAATTATGAATTCACATTATTTGATTGATGTTTCTTAGTGTCTTTGTTATCGTGCACTTTAGGTTCTCGCAGTTTATTCCCCTCGCCAGTTGTCGAATATTCCATCTCATTGAAGACTTTGAGCCATGCTGCTCCTCCTTCATTTCTCAATTTTTCCATTCTATTTCTGAAACCTTCTCCTATCAAAGAAATCTTGGGTGATCCACTGAGTGATGCCACTTCCGAATCACTTTGTGCAGAAGGACTAAGAGCTGGTGATCGTGGCGGTGTATCCAAAGTTTTTGAACGGATATTTTTACTCGACTTCCTTTTACGTAGGTCACGTACCTTTGGATCCACATCATGAGCATAAGCTTTCTCAACTTTAATATTACGATGTACATGTCTTTTTTGGTCAGAAATTTCACTGGACGCGGGCGGGGATGATGATAATACCGGTTCTTTTTTCTTCTTACCGGCTCCTGATTTATGCCTCACCACAATTCCTTCGGCCCCATTCTTATTATTTGGCAATAGTTCATCTGCATTGTCAAGCGGATCAACAATACGCTTTTTTCGGCTTTTTTTTAATATTGGTATATCAATTGAAGGGGTGGCTCCATTCTTTGGAGAAGTTTGCAGCTGCTCTATAGACATGACTCGACTTAAAGAAGCAGTCGGGACTCTTTGAAGTTCTTCTGGTTGTTTTGTGGGAACATTGATTTTGCGGTTTTCTTTCATTGAGGGGCCGTAACCATCCAAAAGTATGTCCAAATTATTTTTTTTATATTCCGTAAAAATGTTTACGCGGTAATTAGTCTGTTTAATAGTAGTAGAAGGTAGTAGTAATAATGAAAAGGAATGGAGAGCAAAATGAATTTTCAAACAAATTTTTACCCGAATTAATCATGTAAAAATCAATTTTAGAACAGCGCTTTTTTTTGGGTAAAGATGCTATGCACCCGAAAGTTTCAAATATTAATAATAATAACTGAAAAATTAAATATAAACTGACCTGAAGATAAGTTAAAGGATTGCCCTCCACGTAAATCTCTCTTATACCCGGAACTACAGTCATACGTCCAATTTCCGCCCAATCTGTCAAACGATTTTCTCGCACATCCACCCATTCAAGTGTGATCACACGTTCCAATCCACACAAATTCTCCACTCGATTGTTCCTCAAATCTAATTTTGTCACATTTACCAGTATATTATAAATACCAACAACGGATTCAATCATATTATAACTTAGATTTAAATATTGCAAGTTATATAATTGAGATAAAGCAGTGGGCACAGCGATGAGCAGATTATGTGATAAATCTAAATGTGTGCATGTGGTAATGAAGGACACCGGTTCATTGGCAATAAACGTCAGAGAATTTTCCGAGAGATTGATGTAGGTGAGACGAGGCCAGATTTTCGCCGGTAGAATACTGGTTGGATCTTGGTCGTCGTCTTTTGTTTCTTGTAATGTCTTAGTAGATTCGGATTCACTTATGCTGTTGTTATTTTTGTTCGTTGATTCTTCTTCATCGGTCTCCATGATTTTTTTATTCTTTTTGATTTTTCTTCGTTTCATTGAGGCAACAACAGCATCGACAAATAATTCCGTAATATCATCTATCGAGCCATTCTGAATAGTGAGACTTTCAAGTTTCTCCTGCAATATATCCCATCCATCAATAATTTTTATTGATAACTTGCATATTTCTAACTGTGAGAGATTCTTGAAAGGGGTCAAGGATAGCATTGAACCTAATAACGGCCATGATTCAGAACCTTCAATTTTTGTATGTGGAACAACAGCCAATCTTAACCCTGAAAGTTTAAGAAAAGAACGATATATATATCTAATATCATCTTCGATTGGTACCTCTTCAGTTTGAGCCGCCATTGACCATCCATGCCATCCTGAAATCAATGATATGGATGACATCGCGGAAGATATAGAATTAATAGACGTAGCCGAAGTTATTGACGCAGTCTCTAATCCATCTTTAGAGTTACTGTTACTGGCATCACCCTTATCATTATTAACGTTACTCTCCAATCCATCCAGTTTCGATTCATATTCAAAAGAACCAACATCAAGCCCATATTCACCAAATTTTGTCAGCAAATAATAAAGGTGATGATGATCAAGTGTCACAAAAATTGATGATTTTTGGTAGGAGGAATTCGACCCGGCGGGCGAGGGTATTTGCGCAGACGGCGGTGTTGAACCGCTTATTAAAATGTTGCTAGTTAATGCTGTGGATATAGACCACAGATTTGATATAGAGAAACTTCCATTTCCACTACTATCGGCTCTTCGATGACCAGACGGTGGCGGAGACAATTGAGTTGAGGTGGTCAAACGTCGCTCGTTAGCGTGGATGTAATGAGCAAGAGTTCGGATATATTTTTCTCCTGAGATGTTTGCATTCTGATTTTTTGAATTCGAGTCAAATAAATCAGGAATTTTGAAGAGAATATTGGCTGAAGGAGAATTTGATGGATTTAAACTGTTTGCTACGTTTGGAAACCACATTCTGAAAAAGTTGTTTGTTACTTTTTCCTTCGCGCACCTTAATATAGAAATAAAAATCTTATATAACTGGAAATGGCGCGGTTATCGTTGTCGGGTCTATTTATTATATATGCACCACACAGAAAACTAGACTAGCCCTAATTGAAATCTGTTGTGCAATCCTTTGGTATCGGAAAGCGCGTGATGATTATTCAAATGATCGTTTAAGTTAGATTATCTTTTACACCAAAGTTTCACCCCCTGGACGATTGATTACCCTTTTGAGATAGATCGTTTCTTGTTTACCATTTTTTTTTTAGCACGCGTCAACAAAAAAAATATTGGAAGAACTCTATTATCTATTTTTCCCTAAAAAACGGTTTTTTAATGCACTCTCACAAAAAGAATCATACGTTTGATCAAAGTAGACGTGTTGTTCAACACGACACTACTAATAATAAAATAGACGCGGCAGCGAATCATGGAGAATCCACAGAAGTGTTTAGTTTGGATAATTACTTGAAAAGCTGGTCCTTTGGTGTTCTTGGAGACGAGAATAATAAGCCTTCATTAAAGAAAACTTTTGTAAAAGGATTTACTAAAACAAAACGTTATCATTCTCCCAAAAAAAGTGATAATAAAACTCTCAAGACAACGAAATCAAGAGGAGAAGTGCCTTTGACGTCTATCCTCAAAAAATCAAAGAGATTAACAGAAAACAGTCAACAACTAAAAGCTACAACAGATCATGAAGAGAAACTACCGAATGCAGAGAGTAAATCCGAAAATTCAGACTCTAGTAAATCTGTACGATTTGCTCGACTTTCCTCAAGTCCCACAAATAAGTCGATAATAAATCGGACTCCTTTGAAAGCTATCAACCAGAATATCATTCCCACTAATCCGAATGAATCTAATTCTCCTACTCTGATATCACTGGTTAAATTCAAATCACCGCTCTATTCTCCGAAACCTGTATCGTATGAATTTGGTGGCCCTTCAATAGTTGTCGAGGATCATCAGAATGAGAACTTTAACAATGATATAAGCAACTCCTTTTTGCCCGGTACTCCAAATAAGGAGCAAAAAGTAGAGGATAAGAATTTTCTTTCTGCTAAAACGCACAGGGAATTATTAGGCCAACCGACAATAGAAGAAAGTTCAAATGATCCTATATTAATAAATGTCCAACATGAAGCAGTGAAAAATAAAATCTCGCCTATTTCTTGGCATCCTGAATCTCCGATAAAGAAAGTAGTTTCTAAAAATGAAGTTCCGATAAAAAAAGTAGTTTCTAAAAATGGAAACCGCTCAAAAGATAAGGAAAGGAATAAAAAGACTATAAAAAATGATGAAGCTAATTTATTACAGCTCTTGGAAATTTGTGATCAAACTGATTATTATTCATTTGAAGAATTTCTGGGATCAGAGTGCGTACAAAATGGAATAGTCGTGTTTTCATACGATTGATTAGTTTACAATAAATATCATATATATATTCATTAGATGTTTAGGAATGGCTAAAAAGGTTGGAGAGGCCACTTTCTCTGAAGTATTTGAAGTGACGACTTCAAATTTCACTTCAAATAAAACAAGATGTATTCTCAAGATAATACCATTTGGGCAAGGGAAAAAAATTTTAGTGAATGGCGAAGAACAATGTAGTATCCTAGATGTAATGCAAGAAGTCAAGATTACTATGGAACTAGGTGGACATTCTAAATTTCATCCGGAGATTCGGGCGGGATTTCTAAAAGTGTATCGGTATGACATAAATATACACGATAAAAAATTCAAGAATTTTATATGAATAATCTAAAATGCGTTTCAGAGTAGGAATTTGCCGTGGGACATATCCGATCCCTCTGCTTGAAGCCTGGGATCGATGGAATAGGCAGCATAAATCAGAGAACGATCGTCCTGGTATAACTTAAATTCAATTCCATCCCTTTTCCTATACAATGAATTAATTATATAATGTTATTATTAGACTATTTCAATCAGAATCAAATATATACCATATTTGTAATTGAACATGGCGGTGTCGACTTGGAACATGTGAAATTAAAGACATGGCGTCAAGCATGGAGCATTTTAACACAAATTGGCTGGACTCTGGCTTTGGCTGAAGAGGTGCTTTAAATGAATAACTCTTGGTATGTTTACTATTTTACCTATATTATTAATTACATCTTTCGCCCTATTATCGATTAAGTCCCTAAAATTCGAGGTAGGTCGATATTAAATCTTAATTATGAAGGATTAGCAATTCAATAATCAGAATTCAATTGTTATTTTATAGCATCGCGACTTGCATTGGGGAAATATTACGATAAAGGCTACCAACTTGAAACACGTCACATTTCATGATCCCTCTAATGGGAAAGTTTATGAGATTCCTTGCTTTGGAGTAAGAGCCTGTATTATTGATTACACACTTTCACGCATGGATATAGGTATGTTCATCTACTCGTTTCATATCTTTATATTATTATTAAATACATGTGAACAAATTTGAAAAATAAACCAGATGAAAATACAATTCACGTCGATATCCGCGATGAAGGGTATTTCACTGGTGAAGGTAATTTTAATTTCATTACTTTATCGCTTTATCGAAACTATAAATTACTAATTTTATATGAATAGGCGATTACCAATATGAAATCTATCGAATGATGAGGAAAGAGACAAAAGGGAACTGGCGATCCTTTTGCCCTAAAACAAACGTTTTCGTGAGTTTATTTGACACGAGAAAAATAAAACTTTTACATATCCCCAATAAAAAATCGCTGTTGACATCATTTCTTTTTTTCAAATAGTGGCTTCATTACCTTGCTGACAAAATTCTGAATAACCTCGAATTGGAGAAACCGCGAAAAAACGCGAATCCTGAAATAATGAGCCAGATGCCATACTATGAGGCGATTCAGAGTCTCTGTCAACGCGCGCTCAAAGAAGGCGGCGGCTATAAAAGTTCTAAAGAACTTATGGAGCAGGACGCGTTTTGGAAAATATAAATCTGATTCTTTTTTATTTGATTCATATTCAAACATCAATTCTTGTTTTATTTGATGGTGGCGCACACTTTATGCTAACTAATGTGCAAATAATTAAAAATATTACATGCATTACAGTAGAGTAGGGCGAAAATAAATTATTTAATCAAAAGTTCGCGCATTTCTTCGGTTCGTCGAAGGCTTTTTCGTATTTCTCTGATCCACACCGTCATATAAGTATATGTTATCGCCATATTTTGCTTTCAGCCACGCCTCTAGAAGAGACAAGTTGTATAAATTCGATCGGTAAAACATGTCTAACACGTCACCTTAACATTAAAAAAATTGAATTTTTCATCAATTTGATTATTCTAAGTTATCATAAAAAGATAAAATGATGAAATGAATTCTAGTACCGATTCCTGGGATAATTCCAATTATGAAATCTAGTATTACGTGACCAATCATTTTTAATAATAGCCCGAAAGGTATGTCAAACCAAGAAATGAGATATATTTGATACTAAAAAAAAAACGAATGAATTAGCTTGTAATACTGAGCTAAACGAATATTTGAAAGAATTTGTTAATTACCATTCCAAGGATCAGCCCTGAAAAATCGCCTATATAAAGAATTGGCAGTGAAAAAATGATCGAGAATTATACAGTTTCAATTAGATTTACCAATTGATGGAATTAGCCCTAAGATAGCATCAAGTCCAACCGGAATCGGTAGTCCCGGGATTGAATCCAACCTGAAAATCAAATCAAGTAGTAAATACCAGTGAATATTCTATGCTTGTCAAGGGTTCAAATTTACCATAATGCACAATTTCTTATACGCTCATATAGATTTTGGGCTTCTTCTGGGGTACGCGGCACTGTTCGAGGGGGGTAAGGGAAGGATGATGCATCAACCATATCTTTGAATTTGGTTTTTTAGATTACGCGAGCGCATATTTATATGCGGTTTGGCAGATCCGCGTATGTAGTACATAGATTTACTATGACAGAACTGAAAGTTCTATGGAAAAGATTTACGTACACGAGTGTAATCATCACGTAATAATGTTGGGATGTTTTTTTATTTCAGACACAAGGAATAATATTCACCACAATTCATTAATTTATTCCAAATGGAAACAATAACAAAAATCAAAGAAAAACAGAAAAACAAAACGGTTTTTTTATTATTACTTGGCAGATTCCTGTATGATTCCAAAAAAAAAAACTCAAGTTTTTTAATAAAAAATTTCACCAAAAGAAGTAAAATCAATATTAACATACCACAAAGTTTCCTTCACTATCCCTCTTACTCCA